CGACACACCTTTACTTAATGTCAGTGCATGACACTGCTAAGCCAAACAATTTTTTTTTTGTGAGTGATTCTCAACTGGGACTTAAGCAGATTGGGGACAATCGAAGCTGCTGAAGTTAACTCAAATTGGCCCCGAAACTACAATTTAGAATATGAAACACTTCGTACTCACGCACATTGGTGTCGCTTGCAAATGTCAGACCGTTAAACGAAACAGAGTCATTCGATAAGCTCTCGCTCAAAGAGCTCAGGCAATGAGCATTCCAACAAGATAAAACATGCTTGAAAAAGTAAGAAGATAGCACTGAAAATCAAACTTGCACACGTTACACAAAACAATGTTAAAAGTTGGCCTACACTGATGCGCATAATAACACGTAAAGCAAAACACAGAAAGTGTCTTAAACAGCACCTTCAAAGTTTTTATTTTGCTTTTGCTGCCATGAAGGCAGTTTGAACATAAGTTGCTGTTTTTTTTTTTTTTGGAAGTGTTCCAAGTGCTTTATCAATATTAAAATTTGCAGTGGGCAAGTCTTCTTCTTCACAAGGAGAATGTCCTGTTTTGTCTTTTCTCATTTCAAAGTAGCACGAATAGGCTCGTGCTGCTGAATTCTCACCGTGCGCTTGTGCCTAGTTTTCCTACATTTTCACTTGCTTGCGGCTTACAAACAGGCAAAAACACAGGCGGTGTTTAGCTAGGAAGTTGTGCGCTTTTTTTATCATGCATTGTCATTTTGAGTAGCCACTGAGCTTATCGATTCAGAAGGGTACAACGAGTAGGACAGGCATTACAGAACTTACATTTCTCCACACATCCAAGTGAACACTCATTTTTTTCACTGTCTGCTCGTCAATATTTCCATTTTTAACGTATACTGCCAAATGTGCAACTCGTCCATAGGCACTCGCTGAAAAAGTTAGCACACTGTAACAGCCTCCTCAAACCTGGGCACAGCATTTTCTACTGAGTTATAGTACACGACAACACGGTCGTCAGCAACCTCAACTGACCAGTCTTGAATGTTCGATTTATTTCTGCCAAATCCTTGAGCTCGCTATGAAGTGACTGAATAGCTCCACAAACAGGAGAGTGGATTCTCTCATTGCATATTCTTGTAGCATCACCATCACCTTGCTTTTTGGACAGCTTGACAGGAGGTGCTGTCTGCGCAGCGGTTGTTTACGTCCCTGTGCAAGTTTCGACTGATGTGAAGGGCAGTTGGGAAACAATTGAGGAACAGCACTATCCTTGGGAGCCGATTTGATACGCGTAAAGATGGCGTAAATACTGTGGTGTTACCAGCTGGATGTGGCCACTGAACTCCACAGTTGCGGCAGTTGTTTGTTGTGTTTCGCTTTCCTGTTTCACGTGATCGTTGACAGGGTGGCTTCAGGCTCTGACGACCCTTGTAGCTATGGTGGGTTGGATGTAAAGCTTCATTTTTATTTATTTATTTATTTATTTATTTGTATACCCTAAAGGCTCGTAGGGCATTACAGGGGGGGGGGGGGGATTTACAAGGAATTGAATACAATTTCATTTCAGGAACACAGCATATGAAAAGGAAAACTGGAAATATATTACAGAAACAATAAGATTTCACAAGTGAACACAATCAAAGATCAGTATAAAATACAATTAAGTGATCCATTGAAAAGTGTTATCTCGCTAAAGAAACGAGTGGAGCACTGATTGAAAAGACTGATTATTGTTCATAGTGACAATGCTGGATGGCAGTGAATTCCATTGATCTATTGCTAGTGAAAGAGGTGAATTCTGGCATTTTTCAGTGTGAGCGAAAAATGGCTCGACCTTATAGGCATAATCTAATCTAGACGAGATGTGGTGCGCGGGTATAATATGAGATTGCGAAAAAGACATGGTATGGTAGAGTGTGTGAAAGTAGGATGACCGGGTGAGTGTTCGATGCAAGGCGAGTGAATGCATATTAAGTGATTTTTAGTTTTGTGACACTTTGAAATCGAGAATAAGGTAATAGGATGAACCGGGCTGCTTTTTTCGGGGGCCACTTTAAGGTGATTAGACCAAGTGAAATAATGTGAATGTGAAATAGTAGATGCATATTCTAATGAAGCACGAATGAGTGAATTATAGGCTAATAATCTGGTGTCCCGGTTCGCGAGATGCAGGCGTCGTCTCAATAGGCCGAGATTCTTTAGGGTGTCAGAAGTCATGCACTTTATGTGGTTTTTCCAGGTCAAGGTCGAATTAAATATTACACTTAAGTATTTATATGGGGAAATTGTGTCAATTTTTATATTGTCAATCGTGTATGAGTTGGTCTGAGAATTTGTTGCCGTGCTAAATTTGATGTGCTTTGTTTTATCTGTATTAACTTGCATCTGCCATACGGAGCACCAATCGGACAGTATATTGAGGGCAGGCTATAAGTGAATGATGTCGGTGGGCAACGTTATTTTCTTATATATTAGGCAGTCATCTGCTAAAAATCTGACAGATGCACTTATGTTGGTAGCTGTGTCATTCATGTAGATCAAATACAAAAGTGGACCTAGCACTGACCCCTGTGGTACCCCAAGTATTACATGTTCGCTATTTGATATATGGTTTTGAATTCTGACAAACCGTTTTTGGTTTGTTAGGAAATGTTCAATCCATTTGTTTTTTGGTGAAGCTGGAGATGGCGTCCTTTTAAAATCAAGCGGTTTTGAGGGACGCGATCGAATGCTTTCGAAATGTCGATTGAGATTGCGTCAACGTACAGTGATGAGTGCAGTGCTTGATGATCTGTCACTAATTCAATAAGTTGGGTTTGGCAAGACAGGTTTTTGCGAAAGCCATGCTGGTTTATGAGAAGTAAGTTGTTGTTGTTTAGATATACTATGATATGTTTGTGTATTATGTGTTATGTGCTGCTCTAAATTTTCGAATTAATTTGTCACACCTAGTTGCAGTGAAAATGCCAGCTGAGCGCTGTCAATACTTTTTTCTATCTTAGAGACTTCACGTTCGACTTCGGACAGCAGTCCTTGCTCAAGAATTTTGGACAGCTTTAGGGCGTGCAGCATGGCATATTTCCGCAATCCGCAGATGGGTCGATGTTGTCGTGAAGATGATATGGCTCTTGATTTCATGGCTGGCGTTCAATTTAGCTGTAGTGTTGGGCAAGCTGTCAGAGTTGGGCATGAAAATTATTGAGACTATCACGTACATTGTTTTGTTTGCCTAGAACGATACACAGCAAAGGCTGTGTTGACTGATGGTGCAAAATGAAAGTTGAGTTTTGTTTTTGCCGCTTCATACTAGGACGTTGCTTCTAACGTGCTGGCAGGCAGAGGTTGGAATAAGACATACAGCTATTCATCGATGTAGTGAACCAAAAAAGCTTTCTTGCGAGTGTCCGACGTGATGTTGCATGCTGTGAAAAAGCTTTGGTATCATTCTACCCACTTTGTCCATTCAAGTCCGATGTTGTAGGCATCATGGGCTTGAAGGTCAATAGTTGAAAACGTTGAAAGTTCATTGGCCATGTTGCTTTTGTCCAGGAGTTTCTGGCTGTCCATTCAAGTCCGATGTTGTAGGCGTCATGGGCTTGAAGGTCTATAGTTGGGACGTTGAGAGTGCATCGGCCATGTTGCTTTTGTCCAAGAGTTTCTGGCTGCATAGAAGATGTAAATTTCCTCTAGGTTGTTGTCTTCAGTTGTATGGGTGGTACATTGTAACGTTTGTGGTAGCACTGTAGCGTTGGCATCGTGCCGCATAGCTTGGATTAACATAGAAAGGAATACGATAAATGGTTACTTGAATGCCATGTTTATCGACTGTTGTAGTTGCCAACCGAATGAGCCAGCCTGGCTATATTCGGATGCTACACAGAGGAATGTGCCCAGTCTTCAGTTGTTCTAAAATACCCATTTCAATTATTTAAGTATGTGACTGTGGCTTAGCTTGTTCTGTCGTTTCTGTAAGCAGTCCAGTGGGCTTTTTGGTAGCCTTACCTGTAGCAACGTTCGAAAGTGCACTTGAGGCAGCAGTTCATGTTTCGAGCACTTTATTAAGTCCCGAAATCGCGGCTCAACTGTCACAGGTTTCCTTACGACCAGCAGACATCTGCATGGTCTCGAGAAGTGATTCAAGGGGATCAATGTTTGAACTCATCCACACTTGCCACAGGCACCAATTGTGTGATCAAGTTAGTCGCAAATGCACTACATTGCATTTAACAGATGGTGTCTCTTACACCTTCCTTGGCTCTTTTGTCTTTTTTGTTTCATTAGGTTGTGTCTATGATAAGTCAAGAAACTCGATAGCAGAAATCTAGGGCCGACTGTATCCTAATATTAGTAAGTACGAGCGTGAGTGGCATCTACTCTGATAATATATTCCATTCACCCCAAGCTTCTTGGTTGAGATGCAAGAGAAGTGATAAAAAGCTTATTGATAGTTATTAAAAACGTGCCTTTACAATTTTATTATACAAAATGTGCCTGTAATTAGGTGTCCTTGTGAGCTGTAAATATGGTTGTAGAAAACACCTCATATTTTTTCTGTGATTTGCTGTTCTTTCACTAGAAAAATGCAGTTGTGAACAAGTCATATTATTCTTCGTAATGTCGAAAACATGTCACTTTTTTTTTTCGTTATTTGCTGTTCATTCATTAGAGAGTAATGCAGCTGTGAACTAAGCCATCCATCCTGTTTGTAATTGTGCTTTTTGCCTTTCGTTCATAATTGCCGTAGTTTTTGAAGCCTTATTGTGAGTGAAAGATTTTTAAGTGCTTCATTTTGTATAGGTTGTTGTGGCTTGTCTTAAAAGGTTGCCTTGTTTTACTGGTCTCTGAGGTGTAGGATCTGACCAGTGTGTATTGTTGACAGTGATACTGTGTTGCCATTGACCCTTTTATAATTGTTTGTGAAGTGTCATGCAATAATAAAAGTGTGTGATATAGCCTGCCATTTTTTTCCTCTTTACTATGGTTACTTTTTTTTCTAAACATCCGCAGGGGCGTCTGTGCAAGCAGACGTTTGGTGAGTAGCGTCACCACGGACCCGAGCTAACGAGGAGGGGCTTGAGCCCCCCTCCCACGCCTGGCTGCACACAGCTGAGCCAATGGGGTTAAGCTTGTGCAATGTGTTTGGACTTTTAAGGCACTCAAGGAGGCGACACGCCCTCTTTTCGCACATGCTTCATGTATACGGCTCCCCTGAGCTGACTTACCCACGAGAAACTAGCAGCTACCTTTTAAGCAAAGCTACAATGAGTTGAAGGTTTTGGTGGCAGCAGTGGCAGAGCTCACGAGAAAACTGGTGCCAATAAGTGTGCAGAAGTGTGAGTGCACACCAATAAACTCTCTAAGTTATACCAGTCACTTTTATATTTGTACCTTTTTTTAATAATTGATTCTTTCTCGATCATGGGCTTGTTGGCTCTCAGTCATTTCTGATAAGGTAACGTGTCTTGATTATCAAGGTCACTTATTACTTCATTGTTGCCTCTCATTGTTGCATTTCATTTTTTGTTTTTTCACATGTGGTCATCATTACCTGTAGCAACAGAAGTGCTGCGCTGCTCAGCTTGACGGTGGAGGTTCGATTCTTGGCATAGAGGAAACGAAAGGTTAGGAGAGGGCATTGCACAATGCAAGAGAAAGGAAAAAAAAGACAAAGGTAGCTCAGGCACAAACAGGTGAAGCCTTGCATGGCTCCATTTTCTTGATAAAGAAAGGGCTCCTAATGTTTTTTCTATATTTTTTTTATTTTGTCTTTCACTTTCACTCTGAATCTTTCCTATCTTCTTACTTCCATCTTTCCTGGCTGCTAGGACCAGCCAAGCTAGGCACGTGAGGCTATAGCAGTCATGTACGCCTGACATGTGCAGGCTTTTAGCACGGTTAATCTGGTAGAATTCTCTAGTCGGGCTTCATTAAGGATGGGTGCTGCCGCTGCTTAACTCTTTCGTTACCGTGCGAAAATGGTTGTTTTTCATATGTCTCTGAAAGATCATTTTGCCATATGAAAAAGTACTCCAGCAAGTATTGCAGCCATTCCAAACTTTGCACAATGATATGCTCTTTTTAAAGAATGTATGTTGTAGAGCAACAAAAATATTTTGGAATGAATAAAAAGGTGAGAAGTGTAGAAGTGAGAAGTGGGTCACAAGTTGGTAAAGAGTGCAACGAAAAACACTAATATACAAAAAATATTCAAAACAAAGAAAATTTAGAATATACATGTTGTAAATAAATGATCCAGAAACAGTATTAAAAAATAATGTTGTACAAAAATGTTTCTCTTCACATAGACAAAGAAAATCGGAACCGAGGTGTTGCTTCGTTGCTCATGCCATGTGGGGAAGCATTGCATGATTTTTCATGAGACAGCAAGTGTACTTGTGCACTTTTTCTCAGTAAATTTTTGTTGTGTTGCAATAAGAGTCTCCCTGTGTTCGAATAAGATAGATGTATACCTGTGATGTGAATAATCCCTCAATAAATTAGATGTCCAATGAACTTTACTATTTCATCTAGCGTCTCCTCTTTCTTTGAGCCACCTTACACCGCATAGGTTAGCGTTTCAATATATGAATCCAAACATATTTCTTGGCACCTTTGTGCATATCGTATTAAAAAAAGGACAATATCGGGCTCAGTTCTAAAACGTTTTGCACTGCTTCATAGTCAGGGCCAAGATGTACTCTGGGGTGTTCTCGTTGTTGGGAGAAGCTCTGCAGCCGGCGCCAGCCCACTGCGTCCCAGCGAAGTGTAAACCACACATGTAACCAGAGTAGCCATAAGATTAAGCGTTAAGGTCAGAAGTCATATGTCCTTGCGGCGGAGCAAACAACTTGAGGATGTGAACAAAACAAACCCATGAACGGCTGTAGATGTGTCAGGCTGATGCAAAACATCGTCGCCATAAAACTCGAGTCAAAGTTGAACGCTAAGCTTGTCGTCACTCAATTCAGGTGGGGTTGCGAGACAGTTTCGAGCAGCGCATGCGTTTTTCAGCGCTGATGCGCACCCATGCGCGTGTGACGACGACATTATAAGAGCGACTAGTGACACCAGATGCGACCTTGCGTCTGATATAACGATGCAAGCAAAACCAAAGCTGCTGTATGCTGTCATAGAAGGCCACCGCAACAATTCAAACATGCGGCAGACCTTCGCAAATATTTTTTGTCATACGAATTTTTTCTGACTCCTAGGAACAGCTTTCTATTGAGTATATGGCATAAATTACTGGCTATCATTACTGCTCAACATGGTCAAATTGCGCAGCTGACACTCTAATTCGATATTCCGCTTGCAGAGGTTCTCTTTTCATTTCGGAAGTTCGATGTTACTGTACCATAATCACGAGGGGTACGCATTTCTGTCAAGTTCGCCAGCCCAGTGCACTTTTCCAACAGTACACGCACATTGGTTTGCGCGAATGCCTCGTCAAAAATCACTATGTTGCCGAAATGGACAAATTCAAATTGATTCTGAAAGTTGAGTGGCTGGACTAGCTACTAGAAAGCACTGGGTGCACGAGAAACAAATTTAACATGCAAAATTGATGATCCAAAAGAGTATTACCGGTGATCAATTTGGATAGGCGTGGTAACGAAAGAGTTGAGAAAACAGCTAATACATTTGGAGCTTTGCTGCTTTTTCTACATGATTGTACAACCTTAAAGTCTCTCCACCTTGACGAAACATTCAGGTTTTCCGTCACCCAAAAAGGAAGAATTCTTTGCTATTTTAGGGTTATAACAGAAATAAACGTGCTCCTTACCATTGTAAAGAAGGCAAGTTAAGTGTAAAAATATTCATATTGTAGGGCTATAACTTGATTTTGTTGCTTTTTTTTTACTACGTTGCTACCAACTGTAGTAACTTCGACAGTCGTGTGTTGAATCCAAAGCCCAGATGAAACATATCTCTACAGAGCCTGTGCCGCTGTAGTCATTGCCATTCTTAATGGAATTTTGCTGCAGTGCGGCCAGGGAATGACGTAACATTTCTAAGATGTCATCTATTAAATATTTTCACATGATAAAGGTAGTTTGAAATGTTTCATGTACAAGTGTGCTCAATACGAGTCACAACGTAATGTCAGTGCTCAAAACAGCATTAACATTCCAAAGTGGCACATGCATAAAAAAAAAATTGGGGAATTAAGATTGGCTCAATTAGCAGTACTTTCTGAACTAACTTAGTGTAAGTCGATGTCATTGTTCAGCCTTGGGGTCGCTTTCATCATCAGCAGCATGTTTCAACTGATATTGAGCGTGTCTGTACACTGCATTGAGCAAGCTTTGGTCTCGAGAGTATGCACTGCTCAGTATAACAAGTCCTGTCAAATATAAGAGGTGAATGGTGTTGAGATGAATGCTATTTGATTTGCCTGTATAGCGCTACATAAATAAATGGCATTCATTCTTAAATCATTATGAAGTTTAATGGCTGTTAAGTCCATTCATTATGTGCCTGTGTGGCAGAGATGTTAGTCGCTGCGAACCTTCTCTGGTACAGCTCTAGGCATGTTGAGACTAGGAATAATGCAGTATTCTTAAAAGTGCTGCCTTTTGCGAAAGGATACAGACTGCCTTGCACCGTAATTGTATACAATCTCTTGCAGTGATCCAGTTCTTGTGGTGCTCTTAGCAACTGAGATTCGGGCAGTGGTTGAGAGTTGTTTCAATTTTCAAAGGTGTCAGAACTACCAGAGAAGCTTGTTTAAACTAAGGTTTAAACAACTCAACTGAAAGCAGAACAATGGAACGCAAAAAGAGACATTACTTGTGTGAGCTAAAAGACTTCCAACATTCCCTCAGACAGCCTGTAATCAGCCAGTTGGCTGTAAGCTGCATGGCCTGCATTTTTGTACAGTGTACACAAAAAGACACCAATGGAAAGTATATAAAAAATATTGCCTCTAAATCTGATTTTTTCACTCTGACATTGTGTAAGTGCACTTCCTGTAGCACTTGTTTTTTAGCTCTGGTGTAATGAGTGGACGCATAATATGGCTTTGAGTATTCAAGGACCTTGAAGGGTCATGAAATGGTGTGAAAGTTAAGACAGGACAAGAGCGGTAGCTCAAACTGGGTACAGAAGGCGCAGTAACACTAGATGACAAGTGCTGATGTGTTGCATGTTAACAGTACCAGACAGTGAAAATTTCAGGAGCCCTCTACTATGGCATTTCTCGTAATCAATATTGCGATTTTGGGATGTTTAATGCCAATTATTATTATTACTATTATTATTATTATTGAGCGCTTATGTGTTACAGTATCCTTCACCGCCAATGTGCTTTAGCTGTTGTCATGACCGTCCACCTAGGACAGGGCATAAGGCGTCCACGTTATGATCGACTTTTGATTCTGTTTTGTTATTACAGATGGCAAAAGACCTGCAACTTTGCATTGGATAACCTCAAGATCTGATCAGTGACCTGGAGTTGCTTTATGGCCCCAGTTTTTTGGTTGTTTTTTTTTTTTCATTCATATTTAGTGTACTGTTGCTGGCTACTCTATTTTTGCCAAAAGCTCATGCATGGTTGAGTAAATAAGAGAGGCCTGTTTGGGTACTTTTGTGGCAGTGCACATTTTTGGCACATTGCACATATTATGCTGGTATTGTTTGCTTTTCTGGCCATTTTTCCCCAAGCATCGAAGGGTACTGTTTGTATGTTTCCTCTGTCCTGTCTTGTTGAAGCAGACGCTGCCTAATTTTGAGCAGTCATGATCATCCCTTTCTGGATTGCACATGTGATAAAGTGAGCCAGATTCTGTCAAATCAGTCACGGTAAAGCTGCAGTCTTAATTGTTTAATTTCTTGTTAATGGCCTTTAGATTAAATTTGAGCTAATAACACGACACGGTGCAGTTTCTAGAAAAACTACAAATTTACCGAAATATTTGCCTTGCGTTGAAGCCATACTTGGGCGTTGCCATGTTTCTCAAAACTCTGGGTGTTTCACGACCTCTGTAAAGTAGTAAAAGCTTTCAATGGGATTTCGACAGCAGAGCTGTCTAAAGCCAAGGTACAGCTGTGAGCAAATGTATATGAGCCGTTGCCGTTTATATACCTTTCCCTCTCCGCAGTCTAGCGGTGAGTTGTTGGCTGTCGAAAGCTTTTCTCTGACGAATTCCATCAGAGTGATGCTCTGAACAAACGATTGGTCGAAGCAATGAGCTTGGCAGCATACAGCTTGTCACTAGATGGCGTAAACAGCAGTTTTGGCTTGTGCTTCCGTGGTCTGCATGCTTCTGCTCATGGGCAAACATCCCTGGGGATTCGTTGTCCAGAATTTCTAGCCTAGCTGTGAGAGCAAAGCCTGATCAAAGGGAGAATCCTCATAAAGCTAAGCAATGAGAGGGAAGCCTAGTGCATAGAGTTTGCTATAATTACCCTAGACTAAACTCTGGCGCTCGAGTGTGTGGGAACTGCTAATCACGGCGCTTCAGCCAGCAAGGGGAATGATGGGTAGTACACGCATTTGTCTAATTAACCTTTCTTTGGCTCCGTTTGGCTCTGTGTAGCTTGAATCGGCTAAGCACGGCAGTTGCGCTTCACCATCTTGACTTTTATAGGCTCACCGATTCAAATCGGCTCACGAAGTTCACGACCAGTTGTTTCTTTTGAAACAAAACCAAAATACAGCAACAAACAATGCCACATGTGTGTTCAAAGGCCGCAAGCACAAATGCTAGGCACATCCATGTACTACCCGTCATTTCCCATGGTGGCTCAACGATCGTAGTACCAGAGCTGCCGCCTAGTTGATCTTAGCTCTGTGGCCTAGTGTAGCTGCTCAAACCTGGTAGAAGAAGGTCCAGCAGTGTGGAGAAGGTCATGCTGGGTAGAAAGAGGGACCACAAGGATGAAGCATTGGCTCTAGCAGAGCTGGTGTGGTCGGAAAGAGAAAATGGGGGTGTGATCGACTGTGCCGGTGAAAAGAGTTGGCCAGGGGCAGTGCCCGCACAAACACAGGTCAATCTCATAAAGGAAGTGGAGGGCCCCTCTGGCAAGCATTGGCAAAAAGCAGAGCAAAGGCACGCTAATGCCACCAGCTCCCCTGTTTAATCAGCCTTTGCAATGTTAAGTTAGTGAAGCTGTCCATAGTCCACGTCAACTATGGTGTACGCAATATTTGTTGTGAGCATATTTTTCTTTTATGCTTACAGTGGAAAAAAACATTCTAAATTAATTTTCTTATGCCCTATCATTTGTTCTATTCATGTTTGTGATACCAATGTTTGATTGTATTACTGAGGAAACGTGTTTTTTCTTGCTACTGGAGCTGCAAGCTGTTAGCTGGAAATTTCATAGAAAATTTTTTTCACAACTTCAAAACGTGGTGGGACATGAACCACGCATACTGCAAATAGCAACCATTTGTGCAGTCGTCAGTTTGCGTTTGCTGTGTAGTGTGCTCTGCAGTGCATCAAGGTTGTTGTTTTATTGACCAGTTCATTCATCCTATAAAGTGCATTGCTGTTGTTCTGATAAAGGGGGACGCTGTCCTCCGCTTTGTGTGGGAGATCTGTAGCAAGCTGGCGTTGTGCAATACATTTATGCAGCTCTTTTTCCTTCTCCGTCTCTATTTACATGCCTCAACAAAGCCGGCCGTCATATCAGCGACTTTGAAGCATGGGATGCTGGTGCAAACCAAGTCGTAGATGACTGTGGGTTCCCAGAGGGTGACGAGGCCAGCTATTTGAAATGCAGCCACTGTGACTTCACGAGCTATGATGCAGCTGCGCTCATCGGGCACCAGCAGCACGACCACGCAGTCGCCGATCTGGGGGTGCGCTACCAGTGCCACCTGTGCGACTCTTCGTTCGTGTACAAGAGGCGCCTGCAGCGGCACGTCCAGATGCACACCAACTCGAATGCCGTCCGCTGCTCGTTCTGCTCCAAGAAATTCTCGAGTAAGAAGCACCTTTCGCGCCACATCCACACGATGCATTTGAGCGTCCAAGTGCACCCGTGCCACCTGTGTCCAAGCAAGTTCTCGCGTAAGGACAACCTCGTTGCGCACATGCGCAAGCACCATCCCATGTTGCCAAGTGATGACACAGTGTCATGAGTAGAAGGCGTGAGACTCATGCAAAGCAACCAAGAATATCTGAAGGCATGCGATTAAAAGGACAAAGTACTGGATGGTGTGCAGGAGTGGTGTGCAGGAGTGGTGTGCAGCGATCATGTGCTATGGTATGCGATGTTATGCGATGGTGTGCACCAGAGTGGACAGACACTCTCACTGAGGTATGGCCTTATTTTGTGAAAGGGCAGTGGTTTAGGCCCAGTGAACGGTACGACTGATGGGACGAGAGGTAAGGTAACAATGAAAACATAACCTGTTTTTACAGTGAAAGCTATTATGAGATCACAACTTGGGTCACGCGTGGTGCTGTAGTTGTCCGCCGCCGCCGGTGTCCATAACCCCATCGCACGAAATTAGGAAAAAATTTAGTACCAATGACACAGTAAGGCTCGAACTCTGGTCTGCCAGGTGCTAGCCCAGTACTCTACCACTGAGCCACGGGCTTGGGACTTGTTGGCAAACTTGCCTTATGCAGGCTTGTTGTCGGGAAAACAATCGTGTTTATATGACTTATAAAGCGTTTTAAAACAGCGAAAGAACAACCAGCCGTCGCACAATGCGAATAGCGCAGAGAGTAGGTCATTCAATGCTCCATTACAAAAGCTTGTTCACCTATTGACTGTGGCACATACCCACTTCAGGTATAATTAATCGTCGTCAGCTGCTGCGTGAACAATTGGCACAAAATTCCTCACAATTGTTTAGCGGATACCACGCTTCTAAAAAAAATTGACGAAAAATAGCATAGCAAATTTCGGCCTACTACCCTAAAATTTTCATTATTAATTTTGTAGTGGGCATCAAGCAAGTGTGCTTGCAGCCGTTACCCAATGAGTGTTTATAAAATCTCCGAAATGCCGTTACTCTAGCTTTAGCTGTGACTGTGCTGCGCCTTCTGTGCAGGCCTGGTATTTTTTTATTTTTCTGCATATAACTCGTACAATAGTGTGGAAAATTCGCAATTAAAGTCAGCGAGCATGTTGTACGAGAATATCGGTTTTCAAAGTGCTTTGCAGCAAAGAAAGTGGCTGCAACAGTAACGGCTGACACTGACAATATATGAGGATTAGGGTGTGACACCGGTAACTGAATACAAGTGAAAATGAAATTTTCGCTATCTTCAAGCTAGTGCTGGTATAACCATAAAAGTGTAAAACTAGTTAGCTTAGCTGAAATGTGTGGGAAATGCATGTGGACTTTTCTAAAGAAAACTTGAGTGTGGGTGTTAGTTGCAAGTGCGAGTTATATGCAGGAGCAGGTTACCCGTGAAAAAAATACTGTATGTGCTCTTACCTTATCTCTTTCCTCCTGCTGACCAGCACTGTTCCTGTCGAACGAAACACGCTTGGGCCTAGCTTCAACGTCCTGTGTTGATGATATTGTTGTTGCAGGTGATAAGATGGCACTATTCCTAATGAAATCAAATATAGTGAAATGTTAGGAATGTGCTTGTAAGCTCAGTTACTGGAATAGACCTGGTGATGTCTTCTAATGAATAATGCTTTGTGTAAACTGGGATAATAAATTTGTCATGTTGTGAAAAAGTAATGCCTGTGGTGAAAGAATAACTTTTGACAACTGCCGCACAGACACCCTAAAATCCTTCAAAAAAAAAAAAATAATAAGTGCCCCCCCCCCCCCTCTTTTTTGTTTCCAGTTTCTGGCTGTGGTGAAAATTCACGTAATAGCAGTCGTGGTATTTCACTATGCTCAAACAATGATATCATCTGGCGTGGTATGGTGGTCAAGTAGTAATGGGGCTTGTCTGCTGACCTAAAAATCGCGGGAGGGAACCTTGACCGCGGCAGCCACATTTTGATGTAGGGGAAATGCCGGTGGCCCACGTGCTTTAAATTTAGGTGCAAGTTTTCAAAGCCTTTTGCTATAACGTCCCTCGTAAGCGTATCTTGGTTTCGGGACTTAAAACTGTGACAATTATTATTATCATTTACTTAGTATATAATGACACTTACTGCAATGACTGTTACATTTTTACTTCTTGTGTGACATAAAATGAAGACTGCTGATATCAATTCTCACTGGCAATATGTAATCGTTGCATATTGCCAATGCATTATGTGTGGAACAGACAGCCAGTGGTCATATATAGATTGGAACAAATACCAAAGGATTGAAAATGCAGCCAAGAATGACCCGCATTGGCATGGCAAGATGAAAATAATCAGTTTGCGAGCGTAAAATACAGCAGGCTCACGCAAAAAAAGGTTAACTGGAAATTGCTGGGAGAGGCTTTCATCCTGCAGTGCTTATAAAATAGGCTGATGATGATGATGATTCATCTCTGAAGTCAATACAGCTAACAATGCCGGCAACAAAAGAGGAATTGACAAATGCCTTAGTTTGGCCGCATCGCTTGTTCTGCAACTTTCAATCTTTTAGGAGCTTTCCCGTCGCCATATCCACGCTCTCTCTGGAGCAGATCACAGGGTCAGAATGGAACGCAATGCACATGTCTCCCTTCTTGCATGTGAGGGCACGCTGGGCAAGCGACGCTACGTCAGCAAAATGCAAGCTTAGACATGAGACGCGACCGACAGACGTCCTTTGACACGCCCATAGATGGCACCGTTTCAAGGCACGAGTCCTGCGCTGCCTCTGGTAGGACACGTCTTAGTCTGATAATCGAGTGGGTGTACAGAGGATTCGCGGTTTAGCAAATTGAACCTCCAGAGCAAGCTCCTTCATCATCATTCACTTCGTGGATATGGCGTAATTTTTGTATATCCATTGCTTGCCGTGTGGAATTTGAAATGCGCGCACATCGAAGTTGTAGCTGAAGTTGAGTGGTGAAGCAAGCACTTTTTTTTAATTAATGCTCGCATTGTGAAGAAGCTATAGTGCCTCTATATGTTCCCACAGAGCATACTTGCAGTACATAATATGCGACTCTGTGATTAAAAAAAAAAAAAAAGCTCAACAAGAGAAAAAGCACCCAGAATTTCATCACACATTGTGTGAAGCTGTCAAGCCAAATACATTGTATAAAAATCTCTGCAAGAGGCTTTGATTTTGCACCAGGAAGCTACAAACGTATTACCAGGCTTCACAATAGAGGACTTTCAACACATGATCCAAAATGTGTTTCTCTGGCACTGATGGTAGATGTAGGCATCATATGTCCTTGTCTCTAATACAATCACTCAATGAATCAACCAATATGTGAAGAAAAAAATCTGTACAGAGTGACAAGACTAGTTCTTTTGGGATTTATTAACTGCTTTTGTTCATTTTGTTTAAACAGCACGTTATGAGATGAGACAGAAGTGGGGTACAATCGACATAACGCACTGTTCAAACAGAATGAACTTCGGCCAACTTGTCCACCTACTTTCTTGAAATGGCCTTTGAGTAACAGCTATGTAGGTGATGCATGCTTGTTGTAGTTAGCATATCTGATGCACATTTCAGGCCATGGGCATTCAGTTATCCCCTAATATTAAATGTCATGCTAAGATAAAACATTCTCTCTCAATATTTCTGGCTCTGTGTCATATGTATGAAGCATTATCATTTTTTTTCTTGTTGCTTCATTATCAAAAAATGTTTTTATGAAGCTTTATTAGTTTGTCCTTTTAGACTGTGAATGCTAAATTGTGTAAAAGGGTTAGTTTATAACTTAGCCTTCACTAGTATTAAGATTCTTGATCTTAATCATTGGAGATCTGTCTTAAAACTTTAGGTTACATACACAGCAGAAGACAAGCGGAGCGGATTCGCGAGGCTTTCACCAGCTGTAATAAAAACAAAATTTCTGATACATTTAGCCCAAACTTTTTTTTACATTTCACTCTGGTTGGATTTGGGGTGGCTTTTTTTACTGTCACTTATGGGTAATGGCCTCTTTCTTAATGCTATGATACTCCTTTTGCACCACCGAGACGTGTGGTGGACACCGAATAATAGACCAATTTCCTCCTCCTGTTGTCATGCAGCTAGTCTGAACATTCTAGGCATCACCATCAGGAATTTCAAACACGCTTTACAAGAAAAGCAACCAGGTGTTTATGGAATGTTTGGGTCAAGAATGAGTGACAGTACACTTTAGTTAACCATGTGCCATTAAAACCTACCTGGTGCATTCCACTGTGCTGTTGGCCTCATCTTGGATATGACCTTCTCAAGGTCAAAGACCTTGAAATGACAGAATTGCTTTTCAAAATCATCCTTTGAACAACTTGTATGTTGTGTATGGCAAAAACACATTTTTTGTTGTTTTCATAGCCCAGTTAGGTACTGAAGGCAGCATCTCCATGTCACTCTCTCCTCTGGGATTCTTGCAAAATTAGTTTTGTTGGCTTGAACAAAAATATGTAGCACATATTATATTATTATCTGCCTGCTTGCTTCAGTATGTAGATTATATTTTTCATGCCATACAGCAGTAGCTAAGAAGTGCTTCTAGAATATATTTCATGATCCGTGACAAACACAACCCACCTCATGATTTTATGTAGTAGCACATACAAGACACGCTCACACACACATAAAAAAGAAGGAAGCACTGGACTGCAGCTGCGGCTTTATTGTTGAAAGCCCTGCATCGTGCAGTGTAACATGTGCATGTGCCATGATGACAGTGACGTGTGGCCATCACCGCAAAATTAGATGTGACGCTTTCGTGAAAGCTTCCAATGGATATGGGATTACAGCCTAAA